CAAAGTTTATATATATATATATATATATATATATATATATATATATATATATATATATATATATATATATATATATACACACACACACACAGAGACACACACAAACACAGGGTGTTCAATCGAATACATTTCTTATTATGAGAACATTTGAGAACAAGTTTGGACCATATAATTTTTTTTGTTAAAATTATAAAATAATATTCACGTAAATCACAAAATAGTTAAAAACAATTAAAATACTCACTAACCAACACCAATCACCATCAACGGCTACATTCTACAACCTACCACCACCTACTACTCACTACCACCCACCACCACCATCAACCCATCACCACCGACAAATCACCAGCCACCACTACCATCCACCCATCACCATCCGCCCACCACGACTACCTATCACCCATCACCCCAACATACAACCCATGACCACTACCCATCACCATGACCACAATCTGCCACCACCACCACCCACCACTTGCCACCCGCCACCACCACCTATCACCACTAACCCATCTATTACCCACCAAAACCACCACCGTCGCCACCGCAACCTAGCCACCACAACCCATCAATATCACGCGCCTCGACCACCCATCATGGCCACCCGCGACCACCACCTATCACCAATATCTACTTGCCACCATCACCCACCATCATTACCAACACCCACCACCACCACTGCCGCCAACCACCACCACCACCATTTATCACAACTACCCGCCTCCACAACCCATCACTACCATCTGCCATCATCAACCTACACACCACCACCACCATTACCATCACTCGCCACTACCATCCCCACCACTCACCACGACCAAGATCACCACCACCTACAACCATCCATCACCCGCCACCATTCACCACCATAACCACCAAACATCACCACACACCACCACCACCACCACCCACCACCTATCACCACCCATAACCACCAAGAACTAACTATCACCTATGACCCCCATTATCCATAACCCACCACCACCCATAGCCACAATCCACCACCCCTACCTCTACCATATCTACCATTCACCACACACAACCACCCATCTTTACCATACGACGGCCAACATCTACCTACAACCACCAACACCATATGTGATTAAATTCATATAATTGCATGTATGATTATATGTATTTAATCAAATGTAATTAAATACGTATAATTACTTATGATTATATGTATCTAATCACATATTATTTATATAAGCAATATTTGTTTTCATCTTTTCCATTCAATAATTTTTCTCATGTATTTAATCAAATATGATTATATGTATTTAATAACTTATGATTAATGTGAACAAAGATTTGTTTTTGTGTTTTTTATTCAATGGTTGTTGTCTTGTATATAATCACATACGATTATATGTATCTAATCACATATGATCTATATAAACAAGAATCTTCTCTGTCCATAAAATCATATGTGATTAGATACATATAATCATATGTGATTAGATGTATTTAATCACATATGATTAAAGTATACACAGAACAATTATGGAATAGAGAACACGATAATGAATCTTGTCCACATGAACCATATATGATTCAATGGTTGTTCTCCTGCATTTAAATATATATAATCACATAAATTATATGTGATTAAATACATATATTCACATGTGATTATATGTATGTAATCAAATATTAATGATATATATTCGTTTTTGAATTTTTTTAATTGAATAATTTTCACATGTATTTAATCACATACGACTAATAAGGACAAAGAACAACTTTTGAGTCAAGAACGCAAAAACAAATTTTGCTCACATATATCATATGTGATTTTATATATAATCACAATATGATAAAATACACGAGAAAAAATATTGAATCGAAAACGCAAAACGAATATTGTCTATATAAATCATATATGATTAGATACATATAATCTAATCACATATGATTATATAATGAGATCAAATATTGAATCGAGAAAGTGAACATGAATATTGTCCTCATAAATAATATGTGATTAGATACATATAATCACATGTGATTATATATACTTAATCAAATATAATTTATAAGGAAAATATTTATTTTCACTTTTTCGGCTTAATAGATGATCTCATGTATTTAATCACATGTGATTATATGTATTTAATCACATATGATTTATATGGACATGATTTAGTTTCATGTTTTTTGGATATATATAATCACATCTGATTAGATACATATAATCACATGTTATATAATCACATGTTATTATATGTATTTAATCATATATGATTTATATTGACAATATTCATTTTCATTTTTTCGATTCAATAGGTTATCTCGTTAGTTAGTCATATGTGGTTATATGTGGTTACTCACATATGATTTATATGGACAAGATGCATTTTCGTGTTCTCAATTCAGTAGTTGTTTCATATAATTAATTAAATGTGATTATATGTATTTAATCACATTTTTATTTATGTGGACGAAATTTTTTGACCATTAAAAATTGCTATCGACTAATAGTTTTTGTTTATTTATATATTTGAAATCGTCCAAAATTTTAAAAAGATCATACTTGGCACTTGATTTCAGAATGAATATTGCACTTGTAGAAAACTAGAAATCCAAAAAGGAACAAGAACCAAAGATAATGAATACTAATCCCAACTTTATATTAAAAATGTCTTGTTTTTCCTTTATCATCTTTCTTATTAAACACATTTCTAAATGTGTTATTAATAATTCTTTTTAAAGAATATATATCTAGTATTTAGAATGGAGGCTACCTCAAGACAGAAGGAACAAATATCTAAAGAAAGTTCAAAGCACAACTCATTATAAATACTGGTTGAAATCTTGGGGGTGTTTTCACATAGGCATTTTCTCGAGCACCTATAATACATTGTGCTTATCCCCACCCCCCTTCCTTTTTCCCATTTAGTATAACGTTAGATATTTCTTTCTTTTTACAAGTTCAATTCAGCAAATAAGATTATATATATATATATATATATATATATATATATATATATATATATATATATATATATATATATATAAGATTAGTTTTTTTTACCATGTGTTTTCATATTAGACCTCTTAATTAATATGTTGTCACATGTCAATCTATTAGTTCTCTATTTTAAATTTATTAGACATCATCATTAATGTGATGCTATTTGTCAATGTATTTATTCTCTATTTTAAATTTTAAATTTATATTACTGTTTTCATTAATTTACAAATAAAAAATATTTAATATATATTAAAAATTAATTTTACATATTTATTTGAATCAACGATTATAATTTCATATAACTAATAAAACATCTTTTAGTTAATAATTTATTTAAAATAATTAATTAATAATTTTAAGTTTTTACTATAACAGTTTAATTAATTTTATAACCGTGGTTCTCATGGGTTATAACCTTGTGTGTGTGTGTGTGTGTGTGTATATATATATATATATATATATATATATATATATATATATATATATATATATATATAGAGAGAGAGAGAGAGAGAGAGAGTAAAGTGAATATACCTAAAAACCTTATATAAGCTTAGGTACCTAACCTCATCAAACTACGTCATTTTGCATTAAATTTAATTGCAATCATCCAAGATTCTTAAACTTCATCCCTAAACTTGATTTACATAAAAAAATTTGGAAATTCATCATTATATTTCTCCTACATCCTTTCATTTGTAGTGGTAGGATATGAAGCCCATCAGGTGGTATACGATAGAAAGACGTGATGTAAAAGAAAGATATTGTTGAAAGTCCAATGATTCTGGAGTAATCAAGTTATGTGGTTGAAGTTTAAGAACCTTAGGCAATTACAATGTAAATATGATACAAACCGATGTAATATTATGGAGTTAGGTACCTAAGCTTATATAAGGTTGTTAGGTATATTCACTTTACCCATATATATATATATATATATATATATATATATATATATATATATATATATATATGATTAAGGATATGGAAATGAATACAAACTCCTATAATTATGCGTTAAACAAGTATCAAATTTAGCCATCTTGAAAACAATTTTAAAAAAGTCAGATGGCCCAAGGATCGATCACTTGCTTAAGAAATTCATTCAGCCAAGCATTGATGAATGATTTGTTCCTCCATAGAAGAAATCAGATAAGAGAAAATACCATTGATTGACTATTTGGAGTTGGCGGTGGTGACAATTGAATTCGAGTGTAGAAGGTCTCACTGGTACTTGTATCTACATTTACACCATCAAACACATCTGGATCTTTAGGTGGAGGAGCAAAACCATCGATTTTATAGCCAAACCATTAAGAATCGAGGTTATAGAAGTAAATCGTTGGTTCGGTATATGTGCAACTTAATTCAAGGTTGTTATACATTATTCGAACCAGAAGGAACAAACTTCACATGCAAGGAATCGATATCGGGAAATTAGACCAGATCGGGAATGCCTTTCAATAGAGAGGAGAAGTTGGAAAAACAAGAAGCAGTAGCATCTGTACTTGTTGATACTGGTGGTGGTAGACCACAACATTGTCACCAGAATTGGTAATGGCTAAGGAAGAGGAGAGGTGAGGATATGGTATCTAATGACGGCAAGCGGAAGGAGGAGGCGAATAAGAAGATCCAGAGAATGCTAGGAGGAGACCGTCCAGTAGTTCTGAGGGAATTATGGTTGTTTCAACGATGTTGGTTCTAGCGGCGTTAAGTGGTTCTAGTTGTAGTAAAGGAAAAACAATGGTATTTTATCTTCCAGATGTGAGAGAGAGAGAGAGAGAGAGAGAGAATGTGTGTAAAATAGGGATAAATTTATTTTTTATAAAAGTAAATCAGATATTATTCTCATTCAAACTGAGTTGCTAAATTTTTCTCAAATGCTCTCAATATAATAATTGTGTGTGTATATATGCAAAACTATATATCTCATAGTGAATGATTCATGTGGGTCTTATTAAAAGTTTTATGTTTCAAACGTAAAGAAACTTTGTGTGTTATCTATTAAGATTAAATTTTGTAG